AATACTGTATCTGTATTCCCCTCATCCTGTTCTTCACTGCTTATCTTCCCCAAACTTATCTCTAAATTCTATATGAAATGACTCCCTTTCCCTGAGAACTGAAGCCTTGTCTGTAGGCACTTCTATAAAGAGTGAAGATGGCTTCTATAATTGCAGTACCTGACACACTGCATCTCTGGGACATACTTCCTCAGTTTCAGGCAGCTAAAGATTGGTATCAATTATGCATTGTTAATTTTTGTGGGTGGTTTTGGGTTTTTTTTTAACTTTCTGCTAATTAAGTGTTCTGAGGCTCTTTTAAATATGTCCTTCCTTTGTTAAATGTGTGCATTGCATTTAGTTTCTCCTAGTGTCTCTCAGGGCAAATTTTAGAGATGATTTTTTGGTTGAAGTTTGTATGTTGTTAGTAAGAACAGGGAAAGCACGTCGCAAAGTGGAGTGACAGAATTTATAGAACGTGATGGACTTTGCTATTGTCTTGAATTAAAACCAAAGACTTATGTGCTTACCCATTAGCAGCGACACTTACTTGCTTGGCAAAATAGTTTAATGGAGCTCAGGAAGACTTGTGTAGGACAGCGTATAAAATAAATAACCCCGGCCCCCAAAAAAGGGATGGAAGAATTTAACTTACGCCCATTAAAAGCTAAACTTGATCTTACTCATCTTTACTCAAGATGGCTCCCTAAATTCCTGGCATGAGTAAGGAAGCCTTAATTTTGCTTTCAGTTGGTAAATGTTGTCATGTTTTGCCCATTCTCGATAAATGAAACATAAGGGTTTGGGTGGGTTTTTTAAAATTTTAATGTAGAGGTGTCCAAAAAGATGTTGGAAAAAGAAGATACTTCTATAGCTTCTATATCAAATACCTTGCATCTTTAGATCTTTAGTTGCAAGAGAACTGTTAGGTTTTCTGCCTGGTTTTGCCTTTTGTTTGTTTTGCTTTCTTGGGGAGGTATGTTTCTACTTGTCTTGCAGGTTTTGAACATTAAACTTGTTCTTAATGTGTGAAGGTGCAAACTTAGATACTTTTTAAAAAAAGATGTTATGTATGTGTGACGATAGACTTACTATTTTGGCATGGTGTGTTCATTTTTCTAGTGAATGTAAGAATATCCAAGGGCAGGGCGGTAAAGCGATCCAGGAGGCGCATGGTATTTAACATAAGTATCTCTCCATGATTACAAAGAGAAACGATGGAGAGGACGGCAGGTGTTACAAAAAAGAGACATGAAGAGAGCTGTACCCCACCCAATATCTCACCTGTACTAAAGAACTTCAGGTTTTAGTTCTGCAAGAGCTGTCGTGAGGGGATTTATTACCTTCCTGTCTCTTCATCTGTTTTTTCCTCCTGGCTAACATGAGAGTGTTGAAGAGAGGTGGCATTATTGCAGCTCCAGGAGTGCTTGGGAGGTAGCATCTGCACACGCTAGAAATAAAAAAAAAAGATAATGCACCACGCTACAAATGAGGTCTTACCATCTGCGTTACACCTTCTTAAGTAAGGTTTAGATGATGTAATTTGGGAAGAGCACACTGGAGCTGATAATCAGGTGTAATCTTTTGTGGCAGATGCTGAAATGGCTCACTTAGTGTATTAGCTTTTAAGTTTTTGTCAGAGGGGGTGTGCTTGGGGAAATAAACTGGTGTGTTCCTGTGGTGTGTGTTGCAGATCGCACTGAGAAGCATTCCACAATGCCAGACTCACCTGTGGATGTGAAGACACAATCCAGGCTGACGCCTCCAACCATGCCACCTCCTCCCACTACCCAAGGAGCTCCAAGAACCAGTTCATTCACGCCCACAACGTGTAATTAGACTTATTTTCTTCCTTTTCTTCCATATTCTTTCTATTCTGTATGTAAGAAACCAAAATATGAGAAGGGAAACCTGCATGACATGGCAGGAGCAGCATTTGGTTGTACTGTGATAAAGTAATTAAGCAAAACTAAGATCACAACAGATTAATGCATCTTTAAGGTATTAAGACATTCGGCTCAGAGTTGTGTTGTTATTTAATTGACAACTTGGCTGCAGTGTCAAAGAACAGCAAGCACTGGTTTCCCGTGTACTTAATGATCAGATCAGTCCTTCTGTGAGAAGAACAGAAAACCACCTTCTCCTCTTTTATGCCATTCTGTTGTTTAAAGGATCCTGTTCCCTCTTTTATAGAAACTTTGGGGGGGTGGGTGTGGGTGGGTGTTTTTTAAAGTGGGAGTAATTCATAAAGAAAATACTTATCTTCATCCCACTTACGACTGAATGAAGAATTCTGATTTAAGTGCTATATAATGTCTAGTTAATATTGATATAAAACAAAAAATAAAGGCCTTTTATGGTTTTAACTAGATATTTCTAGCCTGTGGCCACTTCTCTAAATCACTCGGGGGCTGCATCTCTGTCTCAGTTTATTGATGTAAACACACAAGAAACTCTACTAGTCTTGATGGAATTACTCTGCATTCGTGTCAGTGTAACTGAGATTTGAATCTGGCATGTTGTCTGGACTATTCTTTTCACAGCCATGAAATGATCCACATTTCTCTTACCAAGATTTAGCTGCAAATTTTTTGGTCTCTTTTATACTGCCTTGTAATAGTATAAACATGAGAATGTGTTTACATTTCACATTTTAAATAAAACATTTTTAGAACAGTAGAATACATATGCCTAAACAGAATGAAGGCAGCATCTTCTATTTGTCTTGCCTATGTCTGTTTAGTCCCTTTCTGTCTGTTAAATGCCTTATTTAAAATTCACCTCTATGCAGAAGGCCAGCTGGAGGCCTTTGTACTACTTATCTCAGGGAACCCTGTCCTGACGATTTACATCGAACTTAAACAGTGAGGAAGAGGGTTTGTGCCAGCTATCCGCATAAACTCAGATTTAACCTAGTAACCCTGATCCTGCAATGATTTGTCTGTTTTGCTTAACTCCAGCACCTGAATCATCCTAGGAGCTGCTCCGGTCTAAAGTTAAATTGTTTCTAGGTTTTTGCAGGATGGGGCTCTTACAGATTAAGCTTTCCAGTGTGATGCACTTTGCACAGTTCAGGGTAATCATAAAAGGAATGGGACAATGTTCTTCTTTAATCACTCTTGTAACCTTCAGAGTACTCACAAGATTTCCGGATGTTTGTTTATTTGATTGGGTTCAGTATTTTGGAAGGTGTGTGAATCATAGCTGGATTTTTGGGGCTGTTTGTATGAAGACTAAAAGTCTAAAAAAGTCTAATTTTAATTGCCTTTTACCCTGTCAGATTTTGGAGTTTGGCCTTAGCGGTTCCAGCTTGTACAGTAAACAGTTACTTCTGTTGGAGTGTCTGTTACATTTATTATTACTACAGTGGGAATGCCTGTAGGCCAGGAAGATCGTACTCGTTTTCTGGTCAAGAGTATGCTTGTTTTCTTTGGTTTAGACGATTAAAAACTCTTGACATATATTACCTTGAAGTTTTAAATGCTAAATTCTGTTTTATGAATAACATGGTTTTGCTTTAGAAATGATGTAGATCTTTGCCAGTTGGCAAATTCAGACATTATAAAGAAAGAGATAAAATCATTAGTATGGGGTGGGCTATTTAAAAAAAAAAAAAGTTTTAGAGAAGTTGCATTTAGGGAGTATTACTATATTTCTTTTGTTGTGGAAGAAATTTCACCTGCCTTTCTCCTCCTCGTATCTGTCCTAGGTAATGAACTCTGATGTTCTGTGCTTTCTTGATCATAGCCCCAGGACCCTCTGCCTAGAGCAGCCCCTTACCAGTGACTGAGTTGTTGCATGGTGTCAGGCTAGAGCAGGACATGTTCTCATTCTTCACAATCCTCATTTAAAAAAGTTCATGGTATGATGACTTTTGGCTATGCAAGTTCGTTGCAATCACGATGTATTTGTTTACTCAGATATCTCACTCTACTGCAGCACTCAGAGAGCGTGGCTTGGAGCTACACGTGGAGCTGAACTTGCTGAGGCCAGCTTCTTTCTATTTCTGCTTTTCCCACTTCTTGTTCTCCCTAGCCCACGCAGCTAGAATAGGCAACCAAAAACTAGGATGAAACACAAGCAGAAACTAGATAACCATTCAGATAGCTTTTTCTCTAGTACCTCCAGAAGGGTACTTCAGTCACTAGGGCAAAAGCTCCTTCAAAAGTATTGTGGTAGTGATTTAAAAATCTGGTAATAGGGTAGTGATTTAATTCTAGTAATAGGTATCCACCCTCAAAAAGGACTTGCTGTCTAAAAATAAAGATGACTGCTGGAGAAAGTGACAAAGAGAAAGGGATGTTTGGCTTCAGAGAGGCCGGTCATTAAGAAACATTGAAAGTTCTTTAAGTTGCTAGCTCGCCATGGTTATGCTTTTAAATAGGAAGCAATTTAGACTAATACTCCTATGCATTTTTGATTGTAGACAAGTTCCTGATTTTTGATGTTTTTTGGGATGGGTTCTGAGTGACTTTCCAAAAAGAAATCAGCAAATTTTTCCAGGGCAATGGCCAGCTGAGCGCGGCTGCTGCTGGGTACAGTCGCGTACTGCATGCCCACACCTGCCAGTGACTGATACATTCGTATTTCTAGGGAGCTGTCCTTTTTCTTGCCATTCGCTGTCGTTTTGGTGAGTCAGATTCCAACAACCTCAACAGAGTGTGTTTGACTGTTGCTCTTCCAAGTAACCTGGGTGGAAAAGGATGTCCTCGGTTTGATTCTTTTCTCTCTTCTAGAGTGCAGATAAGAATCAAACTGAAATCACTGCCAAAAACTGTCTGTTGTTGTCTTCAGTATGTCTGCATGAATCTCGTTACCATAAATTTTGAACACTTAGTACTTTAGATAGTTATTCTCACAGCAACCTTGCAACAGGAGGGGAACGCTTTCCTATCCTTTTTAGAGATATGGTATTGGCACATGAAAGCTGAGTGATTTGCTCGTTGTCTCTGAGAAGTCTTCTGAAGTCTAGTTTCATGCCCTAGCTGCAAGGCTTCAGGCCACAGTGAGCATGGCACCATTTGTACCTGCACAGACAACTTCGTGTGCTCCATATGTTAGCAGCTAGGAAATCTGTATCGGGAAAAATAACCTTCTCGTTGGGTGGTGTAAGGTTAAAACGTGAAAGTCCTGTTTTATAAACACAGCTGTCAGTTGTGTGTACAAAACACAAGTAAAAATATTCAGAGATAAACTGAGGCTTCATGAAATATGTCTGCACGTTTTTTCCTACCCCAAAGAGCAATTTTTTTTGTCTTCAATCATACATGCACTCATGCTCTTTCTCTCTCTGTTTCCCTCTCTCTCTTTTTTAAATCCTCTGACAAAAGGCTGGTATTAAAATGATGCTTTTCAGGTCCAGGAGCACTTTGCGGGGGCTGTGTGAGAGGCAGCTGCTGTTACTTCCAATCCATATACCGTTCAGTACCAGCTACTGGGAAATAGATATAAACTGCAGAGTGTCGCTCTGTCAAAAGGCTAATTATCTTTGATTGTGCAACTTAATTAATTTTGAGGTCAAGCACAGAAAACATAAGCTGATGGATTTTCCCCTCTGTCTTCTTTCTCTCTCTCTCTTCCCCCCTCTCTCTGTTTTATCCTTCCTTCTCTCTTTTTCTTTCAGTAACCAATGGCACTAGCCATTCACCAACAGCGTTAAATGGAGCTCCATCTCCTCCTAATGGCTTTAGCAATGGGCCATCCTCTTCCTCTTCCTCTTCTCTGGCTAACCAGCAGTTACCGCCAGCTTGTGGAGCTAGGCAACTCAGCAAACTGAAGAGATTTCTTACAACCTTACAGCAGTTTGGCAATGACATTTCACCAGAGATTGGGGAGAGAGTGCGTACCCTTGTGCTAGGACTTGTGGTAAGCAAAAAAACAATGATGTAATAACTGTGATCTTTTTCTCTCCTTTTCCTTCTTTTATGCTTGACGTGTTTATTATATAAAAGAGTGGCTCACATACACTGCACGTATCATACTTCAGGGACACCACACATGCAAGAATGAAGTGCTGGCTCTTGCTGCCGGAGCTAACATGAGTAACTTGACTAGCTTCCCATGAGTGGCAGCTATTCCCAACCAGATAGAGACTTCACTCTTTTTGCCAGTATAGTATTAAGCTGTAATGGTGTGAAAGGGTTTTCGTTCTATACTGGCAGCACCCCTAATGTAGACATACCTTGACTTATATAATGTAGTAAAATATAGTTTGGCTTGTCTAGTTCGGTTGGCTGGAGAAAGGAGACTGCCCTATATATATAGTGGCAGAATACTGGTTAACAGAATGAGCTGAAGATATGTTTGGACTGTGGTTACACACCTTTTCTCATTATTCATTGAACCCAACAATGAGGGACCTGGCAGGGCATTGCTGCTGCTTAAGTCACCTTATTTATAAGGTTATCTTTACGTGATTGTATGGCCGAATGATAATTTCAGCTTTTTCTTACCTACATCTGTCAAGTTGAGCTGCTGTTTTACAGGCAAACTGTTGTGAATCTGGACCAGGATTCTTTTTATTCCCAGTAAAGCCCCCTCTCTGCCAGACATTGTTGTCTCCCGTGTATCTCCTTCAGCAATAATTAGATGTACCAGGAAAAATGCTGTTGTGGTGCTGTAATTTACATCTGTTCTGAGCAGCTGCAGTTGCCATTGACTTCATGTGGAGCAAAGACTGCCAGCACTGTTTAGTACTAGGGCTCAGGTGTCCTCTGCTTGTATCTTCACAAAACACTACCTGACAGCCATGGGTACCCCTTCACTTGAGTCTGTGTCAAAAGGAAGTTTAATGTAGGCAGTGTAACTTCAGTAAGTCCTACTCTCCATTTGCTTCCATACCCAAAATGCCTGTTTAATGTGGCTTTGCTTGTCATATGGTTCTCTGTGGAAAGGGGAACTGGTAAAGAAACTAAAGACAGCTTTGGGAGCATCTACCTGCCCTTGACTTTCAGATCAAAAGTGCTTGCCCACTGTTAATTACAGTTGATTTCTACCTTCATCTGAGCTCTGAGGAGCAAATTAGGATCTTTTCCTTGGGAATGTCCACATATCATGTTATTCCCTTGGTTGACCCTGCGCAGCATGTGGTCTTCATGATTATGCCCTCAGCTGTAAAGTAACGACTTTACTACATAGCCTAGAACGTAATAAGCAATCCTCTTTATAAGTAGAAGAGGCAAAGTGCAATTTTCCTCCTCAAACAATCTGAATGTGCCTTTAAAAAGTGTGTTTTTTTGTGTGTAGATGTTAATTACCACTTCTGCACTGGGAACAAAATTACAAGAGGCTCCAATAGGAAAAAAAAAAAAAGTTGAGAAAAGCAGCTTTAACTGATGTTTGAAATGTGAAAGCATTTCCATGCTTAGCACCTGAGAGCTTAAACTGTACTCTAAGCAACAGGCACTGAATGTCTGAGATGCTGGTGGTGGTTTCCTTTGAGTATTTTAATAAGGTAATAATTTAATATGCGGCATGCTTTTCTTTATCCTCTTATCAATATCAAGAACGAGTTATTAAGCA